ATTTATATTTAAAGCTGAAAGGTTTATGAGTTGTCATATTAATAGAAAAGAGGAGTTCCAGAAACCTCTGGAAGGCACGGCTCGTGTGTGTGTGTGTGTGTGTGTGTGTGTGTGTGATTTCGGAGTGTGTGGTCGGTGTGTAAGCTGATGGGAAAAGCCAAGCTGCTGTCTGGGACGTGAGTGACTGTGGCAGTTTGTCTGAAAACCCGCTCTTCACCTTGCCACTCCTTCTCTTTTCCGCCGTCCTTCCCTGTTTTCATTTCCCGTGTCTCTCTTTGTCCGTCTGTCAGATCCCCTCTCGTTCTACATCACTTCTTCGGTTGTGCTGGAACTATGGTTTGCCCTCCGTTTCACCTTTTTCCAGCTAGTGTGTGACTGCACACACACACACACACACACACACACACACACACAGACACACACACACTGTCATGTCATTCTATCTGCTGTTGAACAAACTCATAATAACATGTTTTTTCATACGTATATTCTGATAAATAACCTCTCACATCCTTTATCCAAGAAAGACCAAACAGACTAATTGTAGTAAATAAATAAAAAATCAGTTTTTTTTTTGCTTTTTTCTTCCTCAGACCTGAGATGTCATTTATTTTGAGTTACAGCACCCCCTCATCCCACAAAGGATGGAGAGATGAGAGGAGAATGAATGGGTATTACAGCATTTATTTATCTTTTTGTATACAGTGGCGACAACAAAGAAGTGACAAAGAGACGGGAGTCGGACAGATGTGGGATTTTGTGACCGGTGCTCCACAAAGAGGAGAAGCGGGGCCATTTTGCTTTTTTCAGATCATCTTTTACAGGTGAAATGTGGCCAACAACAAAAAAAATTGTGTTTTTGGCATTAAAAACTTGCCGATGGAGGAACTATGCAAGTTAAAAATGCGAGTAGCTGGTCACCCCATGTCTAAAGCGAATCCAGTTCATGAAATGAGCCATTTGATGACCAAAAAAAAGGATCTTTTAAAGAGCTTTTTACCAAAGAATGTGACTGACATTTAATTAAGGCAATTTAAGAGTTGCAGTGCATTTGTTTTCCAATTCTATGGTTATTTTGTTGGGACCGAAAGGTACAAAAGGGGAAATAAGTGGGGAAATAATTATTTTGGTGAAAAAAAACGTTTCTCCACGTTGGCCTATTCATCTCCAGCTACGCCTTCTTGGTCCAAACACAGTTGCTTTTGTCTTAACATATTCAAATAAATGTATAAACTTAATAACAAAACCTTTACTTATGTCCAATTAATAGTCCATGATCTGGACAAGAGCCTGGAAGACATTTCCTCCTCTCCTCTGAAAGAAAGAACAACTCATTACCCCAGAAAACCCCCTTCAAAAAATGCGTTATTTGACAAACCAAACTTGAAATGAGCTCAAATGTATAAGCCACCAAGGCTTATAAAGTAAAAAAACTTGCAGATTTTAAGCCCTTGGCTTTCGGGACAATCCACACCCTGTTTTCTCTGGGAAAAAAAGTCATTTTTGATATGTCAGGAGGTGGAAAGAGCCTTATTCACGTCTTGATATTAATGTGTGTTTGGTCTGGATTATAAAAAAAAGCAAATACGTTCATCTGAAGGCATACACTGCAGAACAAACATAAAATATAATGACCGGTCCACACTGTGAAAATGGGTAGCACAGCGTGGTGCCACACACACACACACACACACACACACACACACACACACACACACACACACACACACACACACACTGAAGCACTCTGTAGAATTGCTCCCCTCAGCATTCATTTTAGAGTAATTAGTTCAGATTTTAAAAACTCGATTCTTTTACCTTAGCTTTGCCGTTTTGCCCCATTCTAAGAATCAAATGAGACACAATAACCACACCTTACCGACTGACAAAACCAGGATAACTACAAATATCTAAAATATATAAGCAAATCTTTTTATAACGTGACTTTCCAGATGTTTCCTTCCAGGTATTTTTAAGTGTGGTAAACCTTTTTTCTTGTCCTATCGAAATGTATAGAACTTATGGTCCCTGAACCAGGAAAAAGGAGTGGATAAATAAAAAACCATAGCAAGCCTCAGGCTCCTTTGACTTTCCAAAATCTCCCTTTTCAGAAATCAACATCTGTTGCCCTCTGCCGCTCAGTAGGCCAAAGCTCTGACTCCCACGGTGGTCTTGTAGGGGTCTTACAGATGTCAGAGGCTTTGACAGGAAGGCTTCATACCATGAGAATCAGGTTTTCTGACAGCCCTGTACTTTGCTATACCAGTTTGACTTAAAAAAACCTACCTGTCGTGTCAGGAAACGTGAGCGGATCCTCAAAAAATGTACGATTTTGCTTGCTTCCTTCATTCTGAGATGTTATTGTTTACAGAAGGCCATACAGTGGCATGAAGAAGTTCTCAAAACACACACACAAACACCCACACACACACAAATTGCAGCGACCTCCAACAGCCAACCGGGGACCTTATCTATATTCCCGTCCAGCCTCGTTCATCAATGCTCTTTTCGGCGTGACGTCACACTCGGATTTACCGATCGATACCCGTCTCGTGTTATCAAAATGCCTTTTCGATATTTTCGGGCGCGCGTTTTCGTCTCGAAACAAGGGGGCACGCCGAGTAGGGCCTCACCCGAAGACTGGTCAATGAAAGGTGGCGTCCTAACAAACGAAAGCGTGCACGGATCGATAAGATGAGCTGATGACATGTCATCCTTTCTGGGGAACGAGATTCAGACCAACAAACGGAGACATGTTTGTTTTTTTACCCGGCTCTAGTTGTCCAGAGTTCAGTTTTGGGTTCCTTCACCTTTAGCTTAACAGCGGTTATATTCACGAACATAAAACCTTTAACTTATATTTCCATCAGCCAGAAACACTTTAGAAAGTTTGAAAGGGAAATTTTCCTGTTATTCAGTCATGCAAATGATAAAGACTTAGTTTTCTTCTATATCGAATACCAAGTCGCACAGGGCTACGTCTCTTTGACTGTATCAGAGATTGTAAGGTTAATAACGCTGAGGGAACTTTGTGAATCGTTTTTAGGTTAAACGTGGCGAGGACGCGGCTGGTGGTGTAGATCAGAATGTTTTTGTGTACACACTGAAAGAATAACCTTTAGAAATGATCTCCAAGTCCGTTTCTACTTCACGAAACAAAAATGATAATCAAATCCTCCCACTCCAGTTTAAAAAAGAAAGAAATAATCAATTTGCAGGCGGCCCCTGACAGAAAATCCTCGTTTTCTATCTCCACAGAGAAGCCAGAAGGCTGAAGGCTGGAGGTTGAGTTTGAGGAGGACTCAAATGTAGGCATCGAAGGAGCAACCGGGCTGGACGATGAGAAGTTGAACAAATAAATCCAATCAGAAGGCGTCAAACAGACAACTAATGGAGAGAATCAGACATAGCTTGATAGAAACCATCCATCCAGAATGAGCAAAAGAGAAAAAGAAAGAAAATTTGACTTGGAAAAAGCAAAGAATTCAAACCCACGATGCAGCAATCACAAACAAGAAAACAGAACCCAACAAAACCCAGAAAAACCCGAACCGGAACGTCAAATAGTTACCAACCAAGACCAGAAAACACAAATTCTGGACTTCTTGCTTGATTCTGTTTCAGAATCAAGTTTGGGATTTGTGTCTTTTTCTTTCTTCCTGTCAGTCAGATACGATCATTTAGACTCTTTTGCCGTGCCGCACAAAAGGGAAGCCGGGCGATGATTGAGGCCCGCTCAGATAACAGCCTGTCCCCATTTTCATTGTGCAGGTTGTCCCAGCTCTACTCCACACCGAGTCCAGTTTTCTTTGACCTCGTGGAGTCGTCTGGGTCCATTTTTGAGCCGCAGATGAGACCGAAGATAATGTACCGAGAGATTTCATTTGGTTCCAGATGTGATGTGGCAAAAGAAAACATGTGAGGCTGAGAGCTGATGGAGGTTCCGCCGTATCTCACGTAGGGCAGAAAGCCCCATATATGAGAAAAAATTGAAGCAAGATAGTTTTGACCACATTTCTAAACCCCCGTTGAATGGAAAAAATAAGAACATCACATTTTTTAGAGGCAGAAAGCATGAAAATGGCTTTTTTTTTAGGGGGCTCAAATAAGTTACAGGCAATTTTGTTTTGTATCGAGGCATCAAATTTAATTCCTCCTCCTGAGCAGAACAGTCATTTTCTGAAAGAAACAACAGGCAACAGAATCATAAATCCCGCCTTTTCATTTCAATAGAGAGTTGGAGTTATCTTTTAGTGTTCCTGCTTTTCAGAGGCCGTTACCAAGCAGTTTTCTCTGAAAACTAAAAGTTTTTGAAACGTATCGTAACAGAAGCCTCCTTTGCTGCTGTGGTCTTCATTCGTACTTTGCTGAGATCATACCTGACCAATAACCCTCAAACTGTGGTCCAATAGACATAGTGATAAGCCTGACAACCCCCCCATCTCACCTCTGTCCCTCGGATACAGATCACGATCTATAATGTAGTTTGTTTAAAGAACAAATTCACAGGTTTCTTCTTTGCAATATTCCAGGAGACCAAAAAAATAAGGACCTCTCCACCAGCAGATGATTACTTCAACCTTTTACAACAATCTTAGAATGGAAAAACCTGTCAAAATATCTGGTCTGAGAGGTATAAAACGAGGAGGGTGTCCAATTCGTGACATGGGACTTGAACTAAACTAAATCAAAAAGAAAAAGACCGATTGATCGGGGGTCCGAGCTCCTGAGGTCCAGACCACGTGAGAGAGGATCCGAACTTCTTGGAGCAAGTTGAAGAACAGCAGTCGAACAGCTCCAGGCCCCAGAGACACGGGGAGCCTTTTCAGCCGTTCTGCCTCTCACTGCTTTCAAATTGAGGAAGAGGAGGTCAGGATCCTCTGAACCCTGAAGGACAAGGAGGGGCGGAGGGGCTTAGATGACGATAAAGCAGATTAAGGGGTCTTACCTGGGAGATAACACTTCTATCAGACCCACAGAAGAAGAGCTGAAAACTGAGGATGTGTTGCTCCTCCGGCAGAGCTGTGGAGGCCACAGAGGGAAGAGTCCAGCAGTGCCCCCTGCTGGAGGATTTCATTAATAGCCTGGTGTCAGGAGCCCTGATGGATCTGGCTGAAAACTCTGAGAAACCTGAGTCTCAGCGTCTCCGACTAAATGAAGCCGACGGGCACCTGCACGCCATCGATTGCTCCTCCAAACAGCCTTCACCCATTCCTGTTCCCCTCTTCCCATCAAAAGAACCGACAGATGCTTTGTGAAAAGGTCTGAAAAGGAAACAAACCCACATGCTAGAAACTATCATCATTTTGAATGTAATATTGATAAACCGAAGCCATGTTAATGATATCGTCTGTGCTTTAGTTCACGTCAAATTAGTTTTGTACCACCAGTGGTGCAAAGAGAAGGCTCTTATCTAAAAAGGAAAAGGCAGTTTGCCTTGAAAAACCAGTTGCCGAACCCAGGCGAACAGTTGTATTTCACCACTAAGTCTCTCCTCTCTTGAGCCCTTCAGTTTTTCAACCTGTTTGCATTGTGAGGGACTAATTTGTCAGAGCATGTTCTGAATAAATCAGGCCATCCGCATTGTACACATGCATAGGATAGAAATAGGAAGATGTTTCAGCATGTAATTTTTCAATTTAAGCTCCTTGATCATTGATTTTCCCCCACTGAGGTGACTAAAAGTATTTTTCCTACTTGTAAAACAAACTGTTTTACAGCTTTTTTAATGTTTCTTCTCTCAGAAGGAACAAGCAAAGCAGGAAAATGGATAGAGAAGCCTGAAGTAGCAGAAGAATCGGATTGAAAACCAGAGGTAGTGGGTCAAACGGTGGAAGAACAGAGGCAACAGGCAGCCAACATCCAAATAAGAGCTCTGGAAAGTACTTCAAGAAGCCTGAAGACCCCTTAAAGAAAGGACACGGAGCTGGTTGAAGAGGGTTCGGGCTGCGCTGGAGGATAAAGTGGCTCAGGGCAAATAGACTTTTAAGCTGGTTCAGAATATTGTTTTCCCTTTTAAATTTCTACATCTACACCCACAAAGATCATTTTTCTCTCCTGAAAATTTAACAAAAAGTTGACTTAACCACAATTTCACTCCACTATTATTGTCCTAAAACTAAAAGCAGCTTTTTTTATATATATATTTATATATTTTTTATATATATGACCCAAATGTTTGGTTAAAAATCAATAAGCATGTGATGCAAAAGGTGGCAGAAGTCTCTGTATCAGATATGATCCGCATAATGGGTTAACCCGCCTCCTTTCCGCACCTTCACTGGCACTAAAGGGTCAGGCTCCTCCCCTCACCCGGCTCACTGACGAGAGACAAAGCAAGAAATACAGGAGGAACCAACCTGAGAGAAAGACTTTCGTTCACAATCGAAAACCAAAATCAAAACCTCGGAGTGTCGTCTATGGAGAAGAGCTACAGGAGAAGAGCTACAGGAGAGAAAACGGGGAATACCGTGAGTATTGGAGCATGCAGAAATGATGGAGGTGGCTAAGAAAAACAACCTGAGGGTTAAAGTTATTTCTCATATGTTGTTCATCTTTCTGTAGTTTTTTATAGGCAGTTTAGAAGAAGAAGAAGAAGAGAAAAATGGCGTCACAGACAGAGGAGGATCTTTCTTGTCCCATCTGCCAGAACATCTTCAAGGATCCGGTTCTGCTGTCCTGCAGCCACAGCTTCTGCAAAGGCTGTCTGCAGAAATGGTGGTCGGTCAAAATCATCAACAGTTGTCCGGTTTGCAAGGCACTGTCTCAGCAGCGCGAGCCGCCTATCAACCTGGCTCTGAGGAACTTGTGCGAGGCCTTTCTCCGAGACCGAGACCGTGGGGCTCCGAAGAGGTCCGAGCCCCTCTGTGGCGTGCACCAGAAGAAACTTCGCCTCTTCTGCCTGGAGCACCAGCGGCCGGTGTGCCTCATCTGCCGGGACTCCAAAGCCCACGACAAGCACACGTTCCGGCCCTGCGACGAGGCGGCCGAGGAGTACCGACCGGCCGTCCGGGAGCTCCTCAGGTCTGTCCGGGAGAAGATGGACCTCTTCGAGAAGGTCCGCGAAGACTACGACCGGACGGCCGGGCACATTGAGTTCCAGGCCCACCACACCGAGAGGCAGATCAGGGAGGAGTTCGAGAATCTGCGCCGGCTTCTGCAAGAGGAGGAGGACGCCAGGGTTTCTGCTTTGATGGACGAAGTGCAGCAAAAAGCTCAGGAGATGAAGGAAAAGATTCAAGAGCTGACCAAGGGGATGGCCTCCCTCTCTGGTACAGCCGGGGCCGTGGAGCTGCAGCTGAGGTCCGCCGACGTGCCATTCCTGCAGAACTACGCGGCCACGGTGGAGGCGGCCCGCCGGGATCTGCTGCTGGACGCCCCTCCAACGGCCGCCGGCGCCCTGGTGGACGTGGCCAAGCACCTGGGCAACCTGAGCTTCGGCGTCTGGGAGAAGATGAAGGGCTGGGTGTGTTAAGCCAATTCTTTAGTTGGAAAGATATTTAAGAGAGAGATATTTGCATACCCCAACAATGAGAGACCGTCATTGTCAAGCCTATAAGGACCGAGTGAATGAACTAGGTGGGATGTTTTGCACAATTAAGCATCAGCCCTGAAAAAAGGACTCACATAAACCTAAAAAACACCCCAGGACCTGATAGCTTCAGCATAGAAAATTATGAATATCACATCATCCAACGTGTAATGCATGTAATAATTTCTGGTGGACTTGGCCGAGCACCTGGGCAACCTGAGCTTCGGCGTCTGGGAGAAGATGAAGGGCTGGGTGTGTTAAGCCGATTCTTTAGTTGGAAACCTGAGAATAAACCAGAGTCGATCAAGAGTAAAAAATTGAGATTTATTGGGTCACAGGTAAAGTGTTTCAGCGCTGGGCTCTTCACAGAGGAAACCTCTCTCTCAGGGTCTCAGTCGGCAAAGAGCCCTGAGATCTGGGGGTGATGGGTGTTTGTCTCCTGACCTGGGCACACCCCTCAAAAGGAGGACTGGACACAACCAAGTCCTATTGGTTAGTTATCTGTAAGACTAACAAGCCAGGTCGTAATTCATATTGATGACATTGGAATGTGGTACTAAATGATGTGTGTGTGTGTGTGTTGACTTAAAGACGTGGATCTAATGCAACTGAGAAAGAAAAGAGAGAACAAAGAGAAATCTGTGGTTACAGCCAGAGACTTCATATATTTATAAAAGAAAATAAAACAATCAGTAATCTACATAGATCATGTGATAGCAAACAACGCTAAAGTGAGTATTTATAACCAAATCCTAACAGGTGTCCCGCTGGCCGGTGATCCTGGACCCCAACAGCGCCCACCCGGACCTCCGGCTGTCCGAGGACCTGACCAGCGTCACGCGCCGGGAGAGGCAGAAGCTTCCGGCCAATCCGGAGAGGATCTACTCCTACCCCGCCGTCCTGGGATCCGCCGGGTACGACTCGGGGACTCACAGCTGGGACGTGGAGGTGGGAGACAGCTCCTTGTGGGCCCTGGGGGTGCTAGCGCCGTCCCCTCAGAAGAATAACAACGACCCGTCGAAGCTACTGAAGGTAGCTTTCTGCGATGGGGAGTACACGGCGGACTCTGGGGTCGATCCCCCGGGAGTCCTCCCGATAACCAAGAGATTCCACCGGATCAGAGTCCATCTGGACTGTGACAAGCGCAGGCTTTCGTTCTCTGACGCTGCCTCCGAAACACACATACACACCTTCAAATACAATTTCTCAGAGAAGCTGTTTCCGTACTTTAACGTTGTGAACGCACAGCCGTTGAAGATAATGCCGGCGAAATGATCTCTAGGGTCAGGGTGACGAGAGTTAGACGGGGTTTGTAAAGGGGAGTGGTGAGGTTTGGAATTGTTGCCGTTGCAAACAAAACCTCAGACTGATATTGATCTAAACGACGTGGCCCCGTCGGTCGGGCCTGTTCAGCCGGTCCCAAAAAGCTGGCGGGAAACCAACAAACGGGGAAAAAATCGCTGTGGTTCGCAGCCGCTACCTGCAACCCTTCTGAATACCGTCGATCATTTAACGCAGGAAAGAGCATGTCAATCAAATAAAAAAAGCATTCGCTGATAAAAATGTCTATTTTTTATTTATCTTTTATTTATTTTTTTGTCTTTCTGAAACCAAAATGCTGCCTCTTGGAATTTAAGATACTCGCTTATTTTACTCCTGTCTTGAGATGTGGAGTATTCATGAGAACTCAGCAGGAGACCACTGCCAAACACTGCTCTGAAAAGCTGATCAAATTAGCTGGAAAATGTCACAGATGAAGTAAATCAGATGAATATTCTTTAAAACAAAACCAAAACGGGACATATAAGAAAACTGAACAAATCACTTACATCAAACACAATCAGAGGCTGATCAAGACTTTCAATCCCTCCTTCCTTTTTCTAATAAAGTACAATAAGTGGTTGTGACCAAACATAGGTGACTGAATTGGGAACCCCCCCTTTCTTAGCTACCATTCCTTGTCAGATTGCATTATGGGTTGGAAGTCACCTGTTATAGGTCACAACAGCGTGCAGAGCCTCAGGCTCAGACAGGCCGATTCTCCGGAGATTCAACCTGCGGCTGCAAACTGTATCAACAACACCTACTTCTTCTTCTTCTTCGCTGTGTGCAAGTTGGGTTTTTTTTCCCCCCCACCAATTACAGGACACGTTCCGCCCGCAGGCAACACATACACCTTTGGAAAAACCTCGGAGAGGATACGGCACCGTTAACAGAGGGCAAATCCCATTCGGCATTCATCCATCCTTCATGGAGGCCGACTGGCCGAAGAAAAGGCTGGGCCTCCTTCGAAAAATGCCATTCGTTTCGGGACTTCGTCTTCAAGACTCACGTGGATTTCACAGATACGGTTCCGTGGCCTGAAAAGGCGATGTTGGAATTGGGCTGTAATTACTCACTTTGGCACAGTATGTTATAACTTAATCCATGTAAATGACTGATCTTCTTATTCCTTTTTAGATTCATGTTATTCCCTTTATAATGATACTTTTGTGTTAAACTCTCGGGCTCTGCCTACTCTTCTCTCTGTTACAGTAGATACACATCTTCAAGCTCAACACTCACACACACACTTTCTTATCACATTTAACCGAAACCTGCATGAATTAGGACCTGGCCTGTTTATGTCAGAGCTAACTGGCCAATAACACTCGGTTGCGTCCAGCCGTCCTACTGTTCGAGGCCCAGAGGAAAACTGTCCATCACACCCGGAAATCGAGGCTCTTC